TGTCCTGAGTCAGTCTCATTGTCTCTGACACACCTACCCCCCATTGGCCCAGTCACTGTATCAATCCACTTTATCTGGAGTCTTCCTGTCCTACACTGTCCCTCTACCCTTCAAAGCATGATGTCCTTCTCCCAGGACCTGGAATGCCCTCTGGAGGGTCAGCTATGAGTTAGTTCTAACTCGAGGGGAATTAGTTGATGGAGAATGGAATTGAAAGAGTCCTGGTGTCATGGTGGTTAAGGCTGTTATCAGAAAAAACACAGTTCTGCTGCCTGACACCAGAAACATGCATTTTGGATATAAGTTAGAGTGGAAAACACAGAAATTTTATTATATACTAGTATACAGAAAGCACTGGTGGTCCAGTGGCAAGAAGCTGCACTGCAATCCCAAAGATAGGCTGTTCGAATCAACCAAATGCTCCAAGGGAGAAGGATGGGCAGTCTCCTCCTGTGTGATTAACTGCCTCTGAAAACCCACCAGAGGGTCAACTGTGGATCGGTTCTGATTTAACAGTACAAAACACAACAACAACAACAACAACCACAAGTAGAATATAGGAGGCAGAGAATCTGATCTTGGAGACTGTAAGAGAAGAAGGGGTTAGAAACTGGAGTGTGCTGTGTGAGTTTCTATAGCTTTTTCTTTGCCTTGACATTCAGGCCTGGGGTCTGGCAGTTATGCCCTGGAATACCTGACCTGTTCTTGCTATGATTCTGAAGATAGCTTGACACCCATTTTGGGTCATGACTGAAAAGAAGTAAAAATTTCAAGGCTTAAAGTGCAGTAAATGTCAAGTGTAGATTGTAGATGTGAGATTGACAGGCTAGCCTCAACAAAGGGCTTAGGTTTTTTGTAAGAAAGATTGTTGTGTTTTTTCTGATAGACTTAGAGAAAAACCTCTTTCTTTTAAAATAGTATAGGAAAGAACATAAGTTTTACTTTTTCTTGGGGAAGTGTCAAAGGTCCAGAACTCAAACTCATTGCTGTTGAGTTGGAACTAACACATAGCTGACCCTGAAGTTATAAGTTTCACAAGAGGAGACTGTCCATCTTCTCCCGCCCGCGACTCATAGTAACTCTATGTACAACAGACCTAAACCTTGCTCTATTGATACCTTGCCAATCTAATTGTCTCCTGCACGCCTATCCCCATTACCCCAGTGACTGAATCAATCCATCTCATCAAGGGTCTTCCTCTCCTGCACTGTCCCTCCACCCTCCCAAGCATGATGCCCCTCTCCAAAGACTGATCCGGCCTGATCCACAGTATGTCAGATGAGGTTTCAGAATCATTGCCTCCAAGTAGCAGCATGGCTTCACCCTCTCTAGGATGAACTTCTTTGTTCTCCTAGCAGGCCATGGTATATTCAATACTCTTCTCCAGCACTACAGCTCAAAGGCACCAACTCTCCTCTGTCATCCTTAGTCATTAGTTTTCTATTTATTATTGGTTGCCTAAGTTTTGGCTGCTTAGGAAGATCTGTGGTTTGAACCCACAAGCCACTCCTTGAAATAAGGTGTGGCAACCTGCTTCCACAAAAATTTGCAGCCTTGAAAACCATATAGGGCAGTTCTACTCTGATCACCATGAAGGAATTTGACTGGATGGCAATGTAATTGGTGGGTAAACACTGTGCAGTTTCATATCCTATTTATATGATTGTAGTTTTGTTAGTCAATCTGGAACCATGAAATAATCTTTTGTGCTAAACATTCCACACAGAATTAGAAAAGCACATTTACTTGATTGCCGCATCCTGTGTCAACTGATTGCCTCCTCCTCTATGCCGAGCGGCTGCTAGGGACCCTAATTGCTCACAGTGGCAGCTGGTGCCTCTGATTCTGTCACAGGCAGTAGCTGAGCTGAGCAGTCAAATCATGCTAGGAAGAGGGAGACAGGGGGAAGGAAGATGGAACACATTTCTCATTCAGAGAGGCACAGCCTTTTTGATCAATAAAGAACAATAGCGGACCTGAAAATCTAAGAGGCCTTTCCTAGAAGAGTCATTAAAGTTTATATTAACTTTGAAAGGATACTTAATGGCCAACATATATTTAATTATTTCACTTTGCATAAACTATTTGAGACATTCTGACAAGGGCATTTGTTGGGTTGCAATAATAAAGGAAAGGATCTGTTAGGATTCTGTAAGGAAAGGATCACTATGAATCTGAATAGATCTGATGGCAAAGCAACATCTTTTTTCTTTGTTTTTTTTTCTGTCATGACAGGGAGACTTGGATGCTACTAATAGTTAAGTACTGCAATACTACTGGAGAGGTTGGTGGTTTGGAACCACCCAAAGGTGTCTTGCAAGAAAGATCGGGTGACCTGCTTCCACAAGGTCATAACAATAAAAACCCCAGGGAAGGCAGTTCTATTCTGAAATACACAGGGTTCTCATGCATCAGAAGTGCCTCAAGCAAAAATGTTTTGGTAGAATTTTGGGGGTGGTGTGTACATGTGTGTAAGAAGAAGTAGGGTAAGGAGTAAATAATCATGTACCTAATCTCTTACCTCTCTCTCAAGAAGCAAAACAGGAGGAATAAAGTAGATTATAAATTCCAATATAATCTTTTCTCAGGAAAGAAACCAGAGGCAAACAGAAATAAACAAACAAGCAAACCAACTCCCGGTTTATGACCCTGAAGTCTTGCAGACTCAGTAAACTGGATTTATTAACTTTTTGTTAAAAATGTGTCTACTGCTGTCAAGAATCAGACCCTCTATCTCTGCTTGCTCTGTGCTCATTCTACCCCCAGCAATTATCCTGATCTGGGACATCACCTTCTCCTGACCCCTTGGCCATCTTCTTCTTCTTAGGAAAGAAAAAGCTTAAAATTTACTAAGCCAGTGGTATACTTCTTAACTCCTAACATTGTTTATAAATAGATGTTGTGCTCTGCTGGTAAGGAAAAGACATTAATGACTTCATTTCCACCTCCCCTCGTTCCTATCAAATTGTTTATGTCACTCATAATATTTCTGCTGACTTTAGGAAAAATGCAGAAATTCATCATCTTTAATCCCAAATAGTAGCAATTCTATTCAGTATGATTAAAAGATTAGATCCGATTTCCCATCTCAAAAGGCAAGAAAAATAGAATTGTCTTTGTCAGTAGAAAAGAGAGCCAGAGGCAAGAAAATTGCACTAATGTGCCAATTTGGAAGATGAAGCCCAAGACAACATAGGTAAGGGGAAAGGAGACAGTTGTATAGATAATGCAATAAAATTGTGTGCCCACATTGGCTTCCATATGGTGGTACCTGGTATGGAGGTCACTGCACACAGGTGTGGTGCTGATGCTTTGCCAGTGGCTACAGACTACGATTTTAAAAGTCTGTGGGAGGTGGGAAGGTAATCAATTTTCCCAGATTTCTGTTGGTGTTTTGCTTTTCAACACTCTGTGAAAGTGAATGCCTTTACATTATGGAATGCATATTCCTTTTATTGAAACTCAAGATTTCAAATATTCTTATAAAAGACACTGGCCTTTAAGGGCATGTGCCCTGACCTGTTGTAAATTATCTTTCAGTTGCAGATTTTCTTTTACAAACTACTCATGAAATCTCAGCCCAGCACCTACCCAGTACCCACTGAAACCAATCCTAACCAGTTTTGGCCCAAGATGCAAGCACAGGAAGTGACTCACTTATTCTTAACTTCATGAGGCATTTAAGATATGTTATCACCATTTTTTATACATCCACCACGCTCCACAATTAATATGCATGCTAGTCCTTGAAGCATTAATAAAAGTATATAACTTCCCTAGTCCAGAGGCTTACCCATATATAATAAAGACCATTATAAAACCCTATCTAAGGAGATGTCCTCTTGGTTCCTCACTTGCCGGCTGGGGATGAAAACGAGTAGTTTTTGAATCTACAAATAGATTCAAATGGGTGAAATATTAGCCGTCATCTTCTGTTAGGGTTTAACAGCCTTGGAAACTGCTGGAGGGTCGCTGTGAGTTGGGCTCCACTCCATTCCCCCACTGAGTGGGTTTTCACTGTGCAAGGCTGGTTATCTTGGCTTTTCACTTTCTTGCACCCAAGGCATGGAGTATCATTGGGTAGGTAATACTTTTTTGTGGTGGTTGTTGATTGCCTTCAAGTCGAACACGACTCATAGTGACTCTATAAAAAAAAGGCCTGAAGCCTCTCTACAACTATTGACATTTATAAAATTCACAAAGTTTTCTGGAGGCATGTTATTTTGAAAGTGGATGCCACTCCTGCTGTGTCTACAGTGTTTTATCTAGATGTTAAAACAGAATGGAAAGCCAAAATAAATAGGTTTATCTGTTTATGCAAACAAAGGCATCCAGAGGTCCAAGTTTGGCTTTCCCAGGGCAAGTGACTTGCTGGCTCCTGAAAGGGGACTGAGAAGACTTCAGAATGAAACATATGATGTGTTGAGGAGGCTGTTGAGACCAGGGGCATTTGAAGAAGTGTTGAAGGTTGTATGTCATAAAATAATCTGTTGTTGTGTACTGTATAGTCAGAACTGACCCATAGCTGACCCTCCAGCAGGTTTTCAGAGTCAATTAATAACATAGAAGGAGATTGTCCATCCTTTTCCCTTGGAGTAGCTGGTAGCCTTGAACCACATGCCTTTGGGATTACAGCTCACCTTCTTTCCACTAGGCCACCAGAGTTCCCTAAAATAATCTAGTCCTTAAAAAAAAATAAGTAGGAAATAGAAATGAGTAAGAGATTAAAGCATGATTTTATAGATAAAACATGGATTTTCAAAAGTAGATGAATAAAAATCATGCTACTTTTTAAAATCAAATAATTAGGTGTCAAGATGACCAGTTAGAATAATAAGCTGAAAGGAGAGTGATTTTTCTATTCGCTTCTTTTAACAGAACAAATAAGGGACAAAAACAAGTATCATTTCCCTAGTGTTCCATTTTCCCCAGAGGAATGGCTCTGGACTCAAGGATACAGTTAAGGAGGGGAGATTTGTGTCAGGGTCAAGGTCTCTTACCGGCCTTTTAGAATGAGAGTGGTGGGTGAGAAAGGCATGACTAGGAGAGGGAAGGTGCTGATCTGCGTGGTCCATGGCCCCATATGAAAAAGCTTTAGCTGTAATGTCTGGAAAGTATGTCATTTGAGGCACTATAAGGAAGGAGACGTTGAGTGAAGGTAGCTGAGCTGGCCTCCTGATAGGCACATGAGCGTGCTGTCCCTGCCTCCTTTCAGAAAACTGCACTGCCTGTAATGTCCAGAGGGCGGCTTCCTCCCAGATTTGCCACATAAAGCCTCGTAATGGCCTATGGTCATGCATGAAAGACTGCACAGAAAATTTTGGCCTGGAGCTGGACTCCTCAATTTAAATCCACTTTTATAAAAACAAAACAAAACAGATCATCTTCTATAACAATAGAAATGAACTGTTTACTCTCAAGATCTATTCTTTGCTAATCAACATTGTCCTGTCAACTGGTGTTTTGCAATGCTCCTATGATCCTTTTTTCCCTTGTCATTGTTATCCATGTCACATGCTCTACAATTAACATAGTGAAGAATTTTATACTTCAAGTGATGCTCTGACCACACACTGGGTGAAAAACGATAGCAACATAAGGAGATCCAGCAGAGACTCCATAACTGCTACAAATCGTGCAGGAAGTATTGTGTATGATTAGTGGTTTTGTAGTTTTCCTTCATGTTCCAAGTAGCTTAGTTTAGACCCATCATAGACCTATTGAGAGACTATCATTTCTTCAACTTTCTTTAATTTGACACTCTGTGATGTACTGGTTGAGAGCAGATTTAAAATTACTATCAAGTGAAGTTGAGTCGAGGGCAGTGGATTTGTTTTGGGTTTATCATGAGTTTTGCTAATGGTAGAGAAATATTTTTACCAGTATAATGTGGTCTCATTTCACTATTTCAGTAATTTTTGTATTAATCACCAAAATTTATATTTTGGCAAAAGAAAACAGGAAAGAAGTACTCACACAGTAATGTTTCTATATTTTTATTTCACTGGGAAAGCTATTGCAGATGAATTAATTTATTTATGAGGAAGTCTGGGTTATAAAGAACACAAGACAAAGGGGAAATTCTGTTTTCTTTTGACTTTACACCATCAGTGTTTTCTAGGAATGGAGAGGCTAGAGTTGTTGTTAGATGCCATTGAGTCTAATAAAACTCATAGTGACCTTATGAACAACAGATCTGAATTGTGTCCTTCCCTGTGCCGTCCTCACCCTATCTGACATGTTCAAGCTCATTGCTATTGTCATTGTGTCACTCTCTCTTGTTGAGGGTCTTCCTCTCTTTCGCCAGTTCTCCACTTTTTCAAGCATGATGTCTCACTCTAAGGAAAGCATCTCCTAACAACATACCCCAAATATGTTAGATGGAGTCTTGTCATCTTTACCTCCAGGGAACACTCTGCACACCTGCCAACACACAGCTATTATTCTTTTGACAGTCAATGGGATAGTCACCACTCCTCTCTCCAACACCACAATTTAAAGGCATCAGTTCTTCAGTCATCCTTACGTCCAGCTCTCAGATGCATAGCAAGTAGTTGAAAAAACCATGGCCTAAATCAGGTGCACATTAGTCCTCAAACAGACATCATTACTCCTCAGTAATATGGAGAGGTCCCTAACTGCAAACTTGCACAGTGCAATGTGTCTTTTGGTCTCCCACATGCTAGTATCAAGGATGTTGATTGTGAATCCAAAAAAGATGTTGTTGACAGTTTTAATCTTTTCTCCATCTATCTTAAGCTGCCTGTTGTCCAGTGGTGAAAATTTTTCTTTTCTTGATTTTGAGATGTAATGCATATTGAAGGCTGCAGTCTGATTTTCTGCAGTAAACGCTTCAAGTCCTTCAACCTTTCAGCAAAGTTGTGTTTTCTGTGTTACATAGATTGTTGACAAATCATCTTCTAATTCAAATGCCACCTGCTTTTTTCATAGAGTCCAAGTTTTAGAATGATTTGCTTAGCATACAGATTGAATAAGTATGGAGAGAGACTACAGCCCCAATGTACATTTTTTCCATGATTTTAAACCATGTAATGTTCTCTTGCTCTTTTCGGACAAAAACATCTTGATGTAGCTATAGGGTTTGCAGAAGAATGCCTATGTTTCACTAAATATTGAAAGACAAATTATGGCTAATATTGATAATAATGGAAATCTCATAAATCTTACCTGTGCACATGTAAAACCTCAATCTAGTGGACAGAGTTTATAATTAAGTGCTGATGATCCTGTGAACAAACAGTTCAGGATTCTCTAATTTCTCACTGTGTTAGCAAGCTCAGTTCTCTCTCTTGTGCCCATTCTTCCCACCACAAAGAAATACCAATGTAACTCTGAAGGTACTGCAAATAAACATGTGCTTCTCCAATTCAATAGACACAGGACAATAATAAAATTATTTGAAGACCTACTTTTATACTTAAACCCATTTTTTTTATATTGTTGTTTACTGTTGAGTTGGAACCAACCCATAGTTGACTATCCAGGATTTTAGAATTGGAGTTAATCATATGGGAAGAGATTGCCTATCTTTCTTCCACTGAGCCTCTGGTGGTTTTGAACCACTTGCCTTCACGATTACAATGAAGCTTACTACCATGCCATCAGAGCACCCTGGTGTAAAAATGTTTATTCCCATGTAAAATTTTTTACTACTTTTTAAATGCCATTAATTTTCTAAAGATATATTTGGTGATTATAATCCTCACAGCAATATTGAGAGTTAAGTACTATTTTGTAGAGAAAGAATTTGAGATACACAGATCTTCAGCTTTGGTGGTCTAGTAGGTAAGAGGTTATGCTGATAACTGAAATATCTTCAATTTGAATCCATTAGCTGCTCTATGGAGAGAAAAACTGGGCAGTATTTTCTCCTAAGTCTGATTGCCTCTAAAAACCTGCTGGAGGCTCAGCCACGAGTTGGTTCTGACTTGATAACACATAAATTTCACCGGTATCCTCCTCCATGTCACACAGTTAACAAATGACATAGCTGGGAATTGAGAAATTTGGAGCCTGTGACTACTTCTAAGGTAAAATCTCAATGGTTTCCTCACTCTAACTTTACATTCTTTATATGAGTGTATATAATATTTGTGTGTTTACGTATGTCCCTGAGAGGAACACATGATTTTCACTAGATTTCTAGTCTAAGAGGGAGCTCTGGTAGCCTAATGGGTAAGCAGCTCCCCTTCAACTATAAGGGACATAGTTCAAATCTACCAGACATTCCACACGGGAAAGATGGGCCTTCTCCTTCTGTGCAATTTACAGCCTCGGAAAATTTGCTGGAAGGTCAGCTATGAGTTGATTCTGAATCAATGACAATGAGTTACTCTTTTTTGCCCCCTTTGCTGAACTAATAGAGGACTGAATCCACTCAGTGGTGCTATGGAAGAAAAACATGGTGATCTACTTTCATAAATGTTTGATGGCATGGAATCAATTTTCAGTTAACTATTACATGTGACACTGTATAACTGCCTCATAGGGTTTCCTTGGCAGTAAGCTTTCCAGAAACATATCATCAGATCTTTACCCAGACTGGATGAGTTTAAAATGCCAGTGTTTTGGTTTGTACTAAAGTGCTTAACCATTGTGGTACAAGGGCCAAGAAAATGAGAGGGAGCAGGTCTTCTTTGAAACACATAAGTTTGCTTTGAGTCAAAACTGAAAGCAATGAGTTAATGTGCTATATGTTTATGAGCATAACTTGCTTCCCTTATTGGCTCCATTTTTATCAGCTTTACTCTGTTATACATATAAATTAGAAAGAAAATCTGAAGTTCTCTGAAATTGATCTTTCCTCAACTCTAATAAGCTTGTCAAATAAGTTAAGGGCTTTTACTACTTACCCCTCATAAACGTGCTAAGGTTTAATGAAGCACAAGAAGTGACAGATTGTATATTAAGCCATTTAACCACCAACATATCTCTCTATCTCAAATAGTGAGATATTGTCCCAGCTGCTAGGGAAGGTAATAAAAACTTATAACTAAGCAATTGAGAAGAGGTGTGATACATCTGTAACTGTCTCATAGCGTAAGGTAAATAAGCTATGAATTATCTCTTGACACAGGGCTGTCAGAAAACAGAAAGCTGCTTCTCAATATTCAAAAAGATTTGTTTGTTGCAACCTTTTGCTGGAATTTACTGGACCACGGGCGTCAGAGCATTTGACACTTGGATTTCTCCTTCCCGAACAACTGGAGTCATGAAACAGCTACTGATCATAAAGAAATACTTCTTGTTAGGTGGTATTGTGTCAACTACCATTCATTCACTCTATGGACAAAGTTTGAGATGTGCATGCATTCATAATTTTGAACATCTTTACCTTCTTTGATAAGTCATTCACATCTTTTTCAATGCACATTTACATTTTCAGTCCAGCATTAAGGCATCACTCACTCATTATTGTTGACTTGGAACCAACTCATAGTTGACAGTTTATAGGTTCTTGGAGGCTATAAATTGCATCAAAGGCCATTTCTCATGTTTCTCCCTTGGAGTTGCTGAAGAATTTGGGTTGCCAGAGAGTAATGTCTTTGAATTAGCAATGCAACTTCCTGGGCTCTACAGGACCAGACCTCCATGATGTTTGGATATAACTGGTCAACTTGTTGATTATTTAAATTCTAGTAATATTATTTCATGGAGCTGTGGTGGCCTAGTGGCAAGAAGCTTCAACTACAATCCATAAAAACAACAACAACAATATTTCATATTTCCCCTACTTTATACCTCTCTTCTAGATCATCTTATTTTCTTCCTCACATAATACTCTCTACCCTTCTCTGTTTCTGAAATTGTACAGATTTTCCTAAAATGTGCCTAAATTTGTACACAACTGTGCACGATGATCTTACTCACTCTCCCTTTCCAGCAGAAGAAATCCTTGCCCAGAAGATCTGATCATGTTGATGAACAATGTATAGGACTAATATCTCAAGTGAGTAATAGTGAATTCAAGTTGATTGTTTCCACATTTTTTATTATAGGGTAACTCTAATCCTAGCAACATTTATAAGGTCATAATGTAAATATACATAAGTCG